GAGTCTATGAAGATTAGGAGCCAAAATATCTCAACATCGTTGGGCCTAGTTTCTGAACAGAAAAGTCGAGTTCACAAGAAACGCCGTCGACGGAAATTTCGCGGTTAAAACTTCACCAAACCCAGATATGTTGTAGCTCTACTCCGTGGCTACAATTCCCAAGTTGAATCGTACGGAAAGGTGAAGTGTGTCTTGAGTTATCGATTTCAGCGCACTAGGGGGTATGCTGCCATAGAATCTTAACTCAATCACAAAGTTCACACAAGTTCACACAAGAGAATTGGAGTAGCACTAAACCAGGTGGAAGGGATGAGGAGGACGAGAGGGAAGGTCCCAAGGAGTCCCCAACCAAAGGAAACTCCATGCCACACAATTCCCTTCCCCATAGGCAACCCAACTTTGACCTTTGTCACTATCCCAACCTCCACAATCCACCTCAACCCAACTTGGCCACACTTGCCAACCTGGTTTGGTTTCTCCCAACCATTTGGCAGCAACTACAGTAGAAAAGACGAATTTCCCAACCCCCAAAAGTCTGTACCCCATATTGAGTCAACCCCACAACTTCCCATAGTCACCACAACCAAATATCAAAAGCATACGAACTCCAACGTTCGTAACTTTCTTGTTCGTGCTCCGATTGAAGCGATACTTGGTTCCTCGGAAAGCTCTTGAGCAGAGGAGTCACTTCAGATATCTGCTCAAGCCAAATAACATTCACACACACACTCAGAAAAACCAAACCGCACAAAACACAAATTCTTGCACACACTCACAACACGCATGCAACGCACGAACATATGATGGGAGGCAGACAGACGTGAATGCGAATGGTAGCATCACTCAACACGGCGATGCTCCAACCAGAGGTGGCAGTGGTAGCATACGCTGATGACATCACCATAGTGGGGCCACGAGGCGCGGCCCTCGAGGCATTCGAGACTATCACCAGGGGACTCGCCACGGTTGGCCTCCGTTGCAACATCAGCAAATCGTTGGTGTGGTGTCAGTCAGGGGATGAGGGGGCCGAGGCAGCAGCACCAGTGGGACTATGGCGTAGTGCTGAGGGAATCAAGGTTCTGGGAAGCCTAATAGGCACCCCGGGATTCTGTGCGGCCCAAGCACAGTCACGGCTGGATGAGGCATCGGAGCCTCTGCCCCTAGTTTCCCAACTCCAACCACAGAGTGCGTTGCTGATCCTCTCGAGGAGCCTCTCCCGCAGAGTCTCTTACCTACTGAGGACAACATCGGCGGGGGTCCTGGAGAGGCGTGAATGGAGGTCGTGGAGTGAGGGGCTACTGTCTTCTGCATTGGCGGCGGCGAAGCTCCGCGCACCCACAAGCGAACTAGAGCAGAGCCTGATGTGGCGCCAGAGCACTCTGCCGGTCAGACTGGGGGGCCTAGGCATCATTGACCCCCTTTCAGAGGCGCCGGCGGCCCACATCGCCTCAATCACAGCGGCGGGGGAGCTGTTAGGACACATGAACTTACCGGACGGATGCCTCCTAAGCAGGGCGGTGCAGCTGCTCGACCATGGCTGGACCCCTCCCCCACCAACTGTCAATCCCCTGACCTCACTTGAAGCGGAGCTGCCGCTCATAGCCAGAACAGCACTGCAGGCATATAGGGAGCAGCCGGTGGGGCAGGGTAACCTACAGCTCGCACTGTCCCGCCATATCTACGAAGCGAAAGCGGCGGAGCTCGTAGCTGACACGATTGAGGATCGGCCAGGAACAGACTGTGGCCATGCTGTACGCCTCGTAAGCTTGCAGGGGGTTGGAGCAGGGGACTGGCTCCATGCCGTACCAACAAGGACTGACCTTACATTTGCCCCTGGTCAGTTCTCGTTGGCTCTAGGCTTTCGCCTAGGCATGGCATTGCCGGTTACCCTGACCTGCCCCTGCAAGCGGGAGAACTCATCGATTACAGACATGAGCCTCGCGAATCACCTGCTGCGCTGTGGGAAAGGAGACGATGTGGTGAGGACACAGAACGCCCTCGTGTACGCCGTGCTCAGGATGGCAAAGGAAGCGGACTTCACGATCTTCCACGAAACCACGGCATTCTCCCCACCAGTGATCAGGAAGAGAGGGGATCTAGCTATACGGGATAAGGAGTCAAACGAGACTTTCCTAACGGATGTTACTGTTACAGACCCGGTACTTCAACGCCGCGACACGCGTGCACGGAAGCCGCCAGGATGGGCGGCGAGGGAAGCCTCTAAGAAGAAGCATCGGCTGTATGAGGGGAGGCCGGAACATGTGGGCTTCTTCGGGCTGGTGGTAGAGACCTATGGTGCCCTGGCGGCAGATTCTCAGCAGTTCCTGCGCCTGCTAGCCACGGAATGTAACTGGTGTCACCTGTGCCTCCACGAGAAATGGACCACAGAAGCGAGGCCGGAGTTTAGATGGAAGGTGAGACAGGTTCAAGTTGCATGTGTCAAGAAGCACCTATTCTCCGACTGCTACTCAGTGATCTCGTCGTTGGGGATCGGCATACTGCTTCTGGGAGTTCTGCATGGTGGTGAGACATCGCTGAGTCTTCTCCCATAGCTGCTGCATGGTGGTGACGAAGTCATGTGCGGCTTGGACGTGTGCCGGTGTGGTTGGCTGCTGTGGTGTGAGTGGTTCCCATCCATAACACAGGAAGAAAGGAGTTTTCCCTGTGGCCGCAAGTGACGCGTTGTTGTAAGCGAACTCTAGGGTCGGTAACTGTGTGTCCCAGTGGCTGACGTTGTCTTTGCAAGCTGTGCGCAGTAACTGTTCAACCACCTGATTGAGTCGCTCGGTCTGTCCGTCAGTCTATGGGTGGTATGCTGAGGACATCGCAAGTTTAGTCCCCAGTAATCCCATGAGCTCCTTCCAGAACTTACTCGTGCCGACACACCCCTGCCCCACCCACGGTAGTCCCTGTAGCGGAATCTCTGCTGGCGGTGAAGCTGCTGGCGGGATCTCTCTGCTGGCGGTGTAGCTGCTGGCGGGGTCTCTCTGCTGGCGGTGAAGCTGCTGGCGGGGTCTCTCTGCTGGCGGTGTAGCTGCTGGCAGGGTCTCTCTGCTGGCGGTGAAGCTGCTGGCGGGGTCTCTTTGCTGGCGATGAAGCTGCTGGCGGGGTCTCTCTGCTGGCGGTGTAGCTGCTGGCGGGGTCTCTCTGCTGGCGGTGAAGCTGCTGGCGGGGTCTCTCTGCTGGCGGTAAAGCTGCTGGCGGGGTGTCTCTGCTGGCGGTGTAGCTGCTGGCGGGGTCTCTCTGCTGGCGGTGTAGCTGCTGGTGGGGTCTCTCTGCTGGCGGGGGTATCTGCTGGCAGGGGTCTCTGCTAGCGGTGTCGCTGCTGGCGGGGTCTCTGCTGGCGGGGGCTCTGCTGGCGGAGGTCTCTGCTGGCGGGGTCTCTGCTGGCGCGGTCTCTGCTAGCGGTGTCGCTGCTGGCGGCTTGCGCTGGTGCTGGTGCTGGCATGATGGCGCTAGAGCTAGTGCTGGTGCGGGTGACTGGCGCTGGTGCTGGTGACTGTCTTCGGTGCTGGTGCTGGTGCTGGCGGCTGGCGCTGGTGCTGGTGCAGCTGATGGGGCGCGACGGTTGGGACGAGCTGCAGACGGGCTACAGGCCGGGCGGGAGCTGACGGTGTGCAGGGGACGGGCTGCAGCAGCAAAGGGCGCGCGAGCGCTGGTGCGCTGGCGGTCGTCGCTGATGTGCCGCCGCCACTCCCTTCCCCCCTTTCCTCTCCCCCCCACAGCATTCCGCCGCCACTCCCTTCCCTTCCTCTCTCTCCTCCCCACAGCGTTCCGCCGCCACTCCCTTCCCCTCCTCCCTCTCCTCCCTACGGCGACCGCCGCTGCACACGCAAACAGTCGCGACGGGGGGGGTTACGGGCAGGGCGATGGCGGGCGAAGGAGCGGCTGGGGCGACAAAAAGCGGGGAGACGGACGGAGTCGCAGGTGCGTGGTGATTTCGCTGGCGGGCCGCTGGCGATTTCGCTGGCGTTTTCGCTGGCTCGTTTTTAGGCGGACCCGCGGGTCCGCCGGCTCACTTGTTGGCGAGGCCGTCTGGGGGTCCGCTGGCTGATTCGCTCGCGGGTCGCTGGCGCGCTCGATGGCGGATCCGTTGGCGATCTTGCCAGTGGGCTCGCTAGAGCGCTGGCAGGCGCGACGAAGCAGCTGCACGCGGGCCATGGCTAAGGCTATTGGTGGGCCCATTGGAAATTAAAAAAAAAAACTGCAGGCACTAGGAACTTTTAGGCTCTGATACCATGTCAAAGTACTAATGTAAGGGTTTAGGGCCTAGGCTTAGGAGCCTAGGCCAACGTATGTCGAGAGAATTGTGGCCAAAGGACGCGAGAATGGTTGGTTTCACTATAGAATGTGAAGAACATATAGTGAACAAGCAAAGGTGCACCACCAAACAAGCAAATATATAACTACACTAACACTAACTACAAACAGTTGTATAAACTATGCAAAAACATAGTTTGACAGCATCGCCAGCGGCCCAGCATGCATCGGCAGCAGCTCTCCAGGCAAAGGCGCGGGTGATTGAGAAGTTCTCCTCGGGAGTTCCTGTGCCGGAGGGAGCGCTAGGAGGGCGGCAAGGGGTGCATTCCTCTCGAGAGCGGTACAAACTGAAGTGCGAGCGGGCCCCGGGGATTTGTGCAGAGGCGATGGTGTTAGAGTGCATGGCTGAGCCGCGTATGGGTGTGATGATGGACCTTGGGATGATCAGAACCCGCCTACCGGTTATTCTGGGGATTGAAGGTCTTGCTGCTGAATCTCCTGCTCCTGCTGCCACTGCTCCTGCTGCTGCTTCTTCTGCTTCTACTTCTTCCGTTGCGTCTGCTGCTGTCGATCCTGTCATTGCTCCTGCTCCACCCCATGCCCCTCCTCCCTCGGTCGTCTGGTCATGCTGCTACCGCTGCAGCAGCTGCTGGGCTGCCTACCGCCGTGCCGTCAGCTTCGCCACCTTCGTTGTGATTGTAGCGAGGCTGTCCCGCATTATGACTCTATGGAAGGCCCACATGGACTCCGATTCGGCCACGTTCTCAGGGGTAATGCGTGAGGTGGGGGCGGGCAGGCAGCAGAAGCAGGATCAGCTAGCTTCCTTGCTGGTGCAGGTGCTTGGGGTGAAGGAGGCTGGTGAGCTGAAGGAGGGTTTTGGGTTTTTCATGCAGAATTTTCTGTCAAGGGGGGTGAGGGAGCGTGGGGAGGGGGAGAAGAAAGCAGGGGGAGCAGTGGGGCCGGGGGCAGGGGCGGGGAGGGGCGTTGGGGAGGAAGCAGGAGGGGAGGGATGGCAGTTGTTTGAAGAGATGATGGGGATGATGCGCACGATGGGGGAAAGCGATGCACCCGCGATGGCAGATGTGATGTCGAGGATGCGGCATGTCATGGGCGTGGATGGGGAGGAGGAAAGGGGTTGCACGGTGCTGTGTATGGTGGCCGAGAGCGAGGCTGGGGGGAGGGGAGGGGAGGGAGACGTGGTGAGAGTGCTGAGAGGAAGGCCGGGAAGGATGATAAATGGTGGGAGCACCTGAAAGGGCCTGTGTGGGAGAGGTATGTGGATGGCATGGCTTGGATTCTGCAGCATGGAGGAGGGGAAGGGAGGGGGTTCAGGTGCAGCCACTGCAATGAGAGTGGCAGCAGCAGCAGCAGCAACACCAGCAGCAGAAGCAGCAGCACCAGCAGCAACAGTTGCAGTGGCAGCACGAGTTTGAACATTCCTATGGGCAACAGCGCTCCCAAGGGCAACAGCGCTCCTAAGGGCATGTATCTGAGCGGCGTGGGTGCCACCGAATTTGCCCTTGCGTTCGCCACTGTGCTGTCTAACAGCGGGCAGAGGAAGCAGGGCGAGGTGTTCTGTATGAACGCTGAGATTGCGGGCAAGCACGCGTGGAAGATGCAGCGATTGAGAAGTCCAAGAAGTGGCTCAACAGGGACATAGTGACCAGGGCGAGGATGAAATGGGAGATGGCGACGGGGCAAGTGGTTTTCTTATCTGACATCATTGTATCGGACCCAAACGGACATGAAATCGCTGCTGCTGCCGATTTTTCCTCCAGCCTCACCGACTCACCCACCCCTTCCCTTGTCCCTGTCAACAGCACCAACCCGATCGTCTCGGCAATGACGTATCGGGTCGGCTGTATCCTGCAGTGGGTGCGAATCTACGGCTCAGATTTTATCTCAGCTGGGAGGTGCTTCAAGGGGAGCCCGCACGGCAGAATCCTGCCCATGCGCCACCCGCTTCGGGACCTTCCGAGCCTGCTGGTCAGGCTCGGTGCTATCCCCAAGCCTCTGCCTTGGAGTCAGTTTGACTCGGAGTGGGAGGAGTGGCCTCAGGGTGAGGAAGATGCAGTGAAGTTTCCTGACGATCAGAGCGTGCGTTGCTTTCGTCTAGGGAGTGTAGAGGAGGCAGCGGAGGGAGATCAGGGGAACAGGGGAAGAGGCACAAGGGGTGGTGGGGAGAGCGGTGGGGGGAGCAGTTGGAGGCGTGGCAAGGGACGTGGCAGGAGGAGTGGCGGGAAGGGGGGAGGGGGAGCGCACCCCTCCAGAGCAGCAGCACCCTCTGAGAACAGAGCCATGCCCATTGTGCGGTGCGCAGCAGACGCTCATTTCCTGGTGGAGTTTGCCGGGCATCAGGTCTACCCCCCCGCGTGCGCCCGCTGCTGCTCGTGCCTCGACCAGTTCACCTACCACATCCCCTTCCTCACCCTCCTCGCTAATTTTGCCTACCGCCCCACCACCGTCCTCCTCAACCGCTTCCTCTCTGTCTTCCCCCCGCGCTCCCCGGAATTCTCTAAGCTCGTAGACCTGCTATTGTTAGAACCTTTTCTTCGGGGTACCTGTGCGGCATTCCAGGTGCACGTGGTGAGGGAGAGAGCGGAGGAGATTCCGGTCCACTTTCTGCTCAACGTGGCTCTCAACTGGCCGAATGCGATGCTGCAGGTCGAGGAGATTGGCATGGTCGGGCGAGACGAGTGGAAAGGGGACCTGCTGGGGGGGGGCGGAATGGAGGAAGGCAGGGAGAAGGATGCGTGGGGATGGTGGGGGAGGGAGGGTAGAGGAAGGGGAGGAGGAGGATGATGATGGGGAGGTGTGGGAGGAGGTGAAGGACTGGGGATTTGCAGTGCTGATTGCGTGGAGGGCTGGTGCCATGACCGATATGATCGACGACTGCAGAAGCGGCAGCAGCAGTGGCGGGCCGCCACGCAAGTGCAGCAACGACGTGGCGACAGAGCTGTGCAACAGGGCAATGGAGTCAAGGTTCTGTGAGGAGTGGGACAAGGGGGTTCCTCTTGCCAGCAGCAGCAGCAGCAGCGGCACCAGTGGCAGCTGCAGCAGCAAGAGCAGCAAAGCGGGGAAGGGGAAGGGGAAGGGAAGGGGAAGAGGGAGGAGGATGAGGTGCCGACCCATCTGAAGGCTTGGCCGGGGGGTGTCAATCTGGTGGCTTGCCTGCGAGAGATGCTGCTGGGGGAACCCTGCTACCGCCCTGGCCCCGCTGCTGCTGCCTTCGGTGCCACTTGTGCTGCTGTCTCTGCCACACGTGCTGGAGTCAAGTACGGTGCCCCAAGCACTGCCTCTGCAGCTAGCAACGCTGCTGCGCCTGCCTCTTCTGCACCAAGTTCTGTTTCTGCGCATGCACACAAAAGCAGTGAAGCTTCCGGGGGTTCCAAGAGGCGTGTGTGCGGTGCTGCAGGGTGTGGCGCGGTGGAAGGCGGTGATATGAAGCTGAAGAGCTGCAGTTGGTGTGGCAAGGTGGCGTATTGCAGTAGGGAGTGCCAAAAGGCGCACTGGTCCTCCCACAAGCTCACATGCCTTGGCAGGGCTGGTGGGAAGAAGAGCGAGAAGAGCAATGATAAGGTGGATACCTTTTGAAAATTCTCATTCGGGGCAAGGTGAGTGGCGGAAGCATATGCAAGGGCAGTGGCTGGAGGGGACTGAAGGTGAAGCAAGTCAGTGCTGCATGCAGTAGAGACGGTTACGGTATTAGGTGTGCTGGGCCTCCCACAAGCTCGTACCCCCCTCGCTTTCCCACTTTTCTTGCTCTTATATGGACAGGTTTAAGCACTTTTGTTTTGACTCTACTATACCATGAAGATATGCCACACATGTATTAGTGCTTTCTTTATGAATCATTCTAAATGCCCTTGATGCTCATCCTTCAAAGCCCTTCAATAGAATTTGGACAAGTTGGCATGCCCTGCTTTTAAGCAGTGTTTCTTATTTTTCTACATCGTTTTGAGCCATCGTCTGACATGGTATCGCCGTACCGGTTATCATCACCATTTTATTTATACCGTCATACTTTTGGTGCAAGCGTTTCACACTGGCGCAGACGGTTGCATAATGAGGGCCATGGTAACATAACCCTCAATCTTGATTGCGTGTTTGAGGCAGGGCCTATGATTCACGTTAATGCATCAGGTGTTAAGAAGTGAAGTGTTGATTGATTAGGGTTGTCAGTACAAGTAGGAAACCCTAAGGGGTTGTACTCACTAGAGTATGCCCCACTAGAGCCTAGAGCATACAATTACAACTTGACACACCCCCATAGGCAAAGTGGGGGATAGCAAACACAACAAACAGTCACAAGACCAGTCAAGCAAGAGAACTAAGCAAAGCAAAGTTCAGGGTGGATCTCAAGATCACCACGCATTTTGAGCACAAGCAAGCGGCCACAAGGCCACTTCACATGCAGGGTTTATAATAGCAAAGAGCAGTGCACTGATCACAACCTAGCAAGTGTAAGCATGCAGGTATACTCATATGTATCAGTGTACAACAAGAGCAAGATCAAGAGACAAGCAAGTGAGGCAGAGTGGGCACAAGCCCAAGAGCAGTGAAGAAACGCTGATGATCACTAGACCCAAGGGCCTTGGTGAAAACATCAGCAGTGTTGGGCCGAGTGGCCACGTAAGCAAGATGAAGCTGATCAAGCTGCTGCAGATCTCGCATGAGGAAGTAACGGAGAGCAATGTGACACAAGGCAATTATGGCCTTGTTGTCGACGTACAGAACTGGAGGAGAACGAGGCCGCTCCCCCAAGTCGGTCAGCAGGTAGGTCAGCCACCGGAGCTCCTGTGCAGCCATGGCCCCAGCGTAGATCTCGGCCTCAGAGCTGGAACTAAGTACAGAAGAAGAGCGAGTGGACCTCCACGAGACAGAACCAGCGCCGAGGCTGAAACTGTACCCTTCTGTCGACCGGTGAGTCGTCTGGTCGTCATCCCAAGAAGTGTCTGAGTGACCGGTGAGAACAACTGAACCCGGCCCTCCAAGCACGAACCCCATGCCCGATGTGCTGCACAAGTAACGCAATACCCTCTTCGCAGCATCCAAGTGCATCTTTCGATGTCTACCGAGAGCCACGTAGCGAGCCAAGAGGCTGAGAGGGTACGCAAGGTCAGGTCGTGTGCACGTCATCAGGTACATGAGGCAACCCACAAGCTCTGAGTACGGACCACTCGGCTCTACGGACTCGTCCGAAGGTGGAGCTGAGAGCGAGTGGCCGGTAGACAGAGGAGTGCGCTGTGGCGAGGACCACGTGAAGTCGAAGCGCTGAAGGACCTGTTGCACCATGTGTGACTGAGTGAGGGTGATGGTGCGGCGTGCTGTGTCTCGGGTGATCTGCAAGCCAAGATAGCTCCGCAGCTCACCCAGGTCAATGCAAGTGTGTCTCTCCTGCAGCTCCGCCTTCACCAAGGCCAGAGCCTCAGTGTCAGCAGTAGCAAAAACCAAGTCGTCAACGAACACAAGAACGTAGAATGGCGGCAGAGAAGTGTCTGTGCGCAGAAACAGTCAAGGGCCAGCAGTCGAGGGAGCGAATCCAAGAGCCGCAAGTGTAGTCCTCAGTGTGTCGTGCCACTCGCGGGGTGCGTGTCGGAGGCCGTAGACTGGTCGCTGAAGACTCCACTGGGTACCCTCAGGAAACGACCCCGTGAAGCCACGTGGATGGCGCAACTAGATAGCATCTGAAGGCTACCTTGTAAGAAGGCTTTCGAGAAGTCGAGGGAGTGCAGCTCGTAGTCACGCTGAGCTGCAACGTGTAGCAACACCCGAAGAGTGGTCATCTTTGGGGTGGGGGAGAAGGTCTGGAAGAAGTCGACCCCCTCACGCTGACTGAAGCCTCGATCAACGTAACTTGCCTTGAAGGCAGGCGGAGAACCCGGCGGCCGCTTCACCCTGAAAATCCACATGCCACTGACGATGTTCGCTCAGGTGGGGGAACCTCGTCGACGTAGGTGCCTGTGGACTTCCAGGAAGCCATCTCTGCGTCCATGGCTGTCTGCCACTGAGAGGAGTACTCATCCGAGATCGCCTCTCTGTAAGAGCACGGGGTGGGGATGTCAAGTGCATCCGGGTCTCCTTAAGGGGCAAGCAGCATGGTCGCGAGATGAGGTGCAGCGGCACCAAGACACTCCAGCTCCTCCTGTCTGTCCTCAAGAACAACCTCACCCCCGACGGATGGAGGACAGGAAGAGTAAAAAACAAGACTCGCAGCGTAGTCAAGGCGGCACAAAGCAGCAAAGTCAACAAGCTCAGCAACTAAGGCAGACTTAGCAGCAGACTCAAATGAAGGGCCAGTCACAACTATGGCAAGGAGACGAGTGACAGTCGGACTGGCAGCACGGACAAGGTCTGACTCAGGGTCAGGAACGTGAGGAAGAGAAGACGTAGGAGGAGAAGGCAGGACAACACGCTGTGGAACAGAGGAAGGACGAAGTGCCATACGGTGAGTGCCTGACACAGCTGGAGCACGAGGACGGACAACACGACAACCACGAACAGGAGTGGAAGCACGAGTCTCAGGCTCACGACGCTCAGGAGTGGAAGCACAAGTCTCAGGCTCACGACGCGCAGTCAGGGACGCAGGGACCTGAGTGTGAGGAGAAGGAGCAGGCAGCGGGGAGCCAGGCAGTAGCTGTGGCTGAGACTGGTCAGTCGGTGGGAACAGTAACGGAGGAGTAGAACCAGGAACCGGAAACTCAGTAGCAGCAGGCGGAAGACTAAGAAGGCGACGAAGCGCAGACGGTTGCGGCTGAGTAGTCGCACCCCTAGAACCTCCCGCTCCAGGAGCAACAGCACCCCTAGAACCAGTGCCTCCAGCTCCAGTAGCAGCAGCACCCCCAGAACCAGTGCCCTCACCTCCACCACCGGGACTGCCCCAACGAACAGCCCACTCGCGAAGCTGGAGCGGCGAGAGCGACTCCTGCCGACTAGCACCACTACCTCCATTACCCCCAACAGCACTTCCAATAGTACCTCCAGTGCCAGCACCTCCAGCACCTCCAGCAGTACCTATACCTCCAGCACCTCCAGCAGCACCTGTGCCTCCAGTACCAGGAACACCAGCACCAGCACCTCCAGAGCTAGCACCTACAGAACCTGAACCTCCAGCACCTCCAGTACCAGGAACTCCAGCACTAGCACCTCCAGGGCTAGCACCTCCAAAACCTGCAGCTCCAGCACGTCCAGCGCTACCACCAGGACTGCCCCAACGGACAGCCCACTCGCGAAGCCGCTCCGGCGAGAGAGACGCCTGGCGACGTGCGCCAGGACTACCCGCAGCGGCACCCACAGCAGCAGCACCTCCAGTACCTCCAGCTCTAGGAGAGCGAGCACGGCTAGCTCCACCACCAGGGCTGCCCCACTGTACGGCCCACTCGCGAAGCCACTCCGGCGAGAGAGTCGCCCGCCGACGTGCAGCAGTGCCACCAGTACGAGCAACCACAGCACCACCAGTAGCAGAACCTCCAGCTCCAGCAGTGCCAGCACCACCAGCTCTAAGACGGCTAGCTCCACCACCAGGGCTGCTCCATTGGACAGCCCACTCGCGTAGCCGCTCTGGCGAGAGAGCCTCCTGCCGACTCGTAGCAGGACCACCAGCACCAGTACCTCTAGTACCTCCTGTACCCAGAGGACACTCAGCTCCCCCACAACCAGCACCCCCAGTGGTACCACCTCCTGTAGCACCAGAGTCCACAGCGACAGGCTGCAGCGGCGGTGAGGACGATCGAGGCGGAAACCCAGGAGGGACAGCCAAGTGTGCAGAGCGGCGAGGGGTCACTGTGGCAGCAGGAGTCGGG